GGGGGCTTTTTCTCCCAACCCTATCCTGTCGAGGACTCAGCTTCATAAACAATTTGCTCTATTTATGGTAGATAGTATTAATAATAACAGTACGATTCAACACCCGTTTTCATATCCTGTGGCATAATTCCCTTTCTTTCTTTCTTTTGTGAAGTTGCTGTGGTATTAGATAGATCTATTGCTGGAGCTGACATGCATGCATGTTTGTATATTATTATGACTAGTATTGTACAACTCGTATTCATTCCCAAACCCTTCTTCTTCTTCTTCTCCTCCTCCTCCTCCTCCTCCTCCTCCTCCTCCTCCTCCTCCTCGTCGTCCTCTTCCTCTTCCTTCTCCTCCTCCTTCTCCTCCTCCTCTCTCTCTCTCTCTCTCTCTCTCTCTCTCTCTCTCTCTCTCTCTCTCTCAGCGTACATCTTGTAATCTTGTTTCCGTTTCACGTTCAAATTTTTACCACCGCTGTTTTCAGGGCATACTCTTCGAAATATATGATTTGGGGATGCCTGTACTGACACATCTATTCCATGAAATAGCTGCTGTGCTGCTCATGCTCAAGTGGGCACGATTCTCATTCCCCCACATACCAAAACCTCGGGTTATGACTCACTGACCTAAAAAGATACTTTTAGGTCAGAGGTTATGACGACCACTGAAACTGACGTTGACAGCTGATTACATTTATTATGATCTCTCAACACTCCGCAGTTTGGCCTTCATGACAGTCGGAAACCTTGGCTTCCTAATAAAGAGAACACGTCATTGTGGAGGTGTATTATATTTGTTAGTTTTGCTTTTTTTTTTGTTGCTTTTTTTCCGCCAAGGCTTCCGATTGCTGCGTGTTTTCTTTTAATTACTGATCCTGGTGTTTGTATGAGACTTGCAGGTGGCAGATTTAATTTAGAATGACTACGATATCATGATTATCTTTTTTTTTCATGTAGACAGTTTTACGTCCACATCCGTACAATTTAGATGATCATTTGGTCGCTGTTAAGGACAAGCGGGCTAACCCAGATTTTTAGGGGATTTCCAGAAATCTTGACCTGTACCAAAAGTCGACATTGCCTTACCTATAGGAGAAGTTTGGTTTCATTGCTTGGTGTGTATATATTTGTTTGGTTATAGAGAAAACTCTCCTTGTCTTTTAAAGAAACTGAGCAAGGGGCAAAAACTTTACCTTCGATTTTCTCAAAACAGCATTTTTCCGGATTGCCTGTCAGGGTCATTATCGGATTGAGAGGAATACATTGCACAAACAACGTCACCACTACACCGCCTACGCTGATGTTATCTACCGATACTGAAAAATAGTACATCCTACTCCGCCCCGCCCCCTTGAAATTCCTTGTTTTTATGTATTCAACTGCGGCAGTCATGCAATTTCGTATTTATGGGAAGCCCTGGTCTGCTTATTCGTGTATTGGAGTGTTTTATTTTTTTGGTTGTTGTGGTTTTAAATTGAACGGGTTTTGAATAACATTACAAGTTCTTTATTTATATATTGTTCGTGACTTTCAAGCAAGTTATAACACTACAAAATGTGTTCTAGAAGTTAAAAGAAATGGCGCGTCTG